ATTTCATTCGAATTTGTTTGTCAAAGATTCTATACTCCTTCTGTCTGTTGTTTGTTGTCTTTCCTTTATTACATCAAAAATCTCTGTTGTCATCTATTTCCTTTTACTTGTCATCAGTTCCGAATAATGCATAGGTTCGTTGTTTTTCTCTTGATTGACGTAGCTTATGATTTTATTTATGATACATAGGGGGTAGAGTAACACATTATTTAACAGTTTCAAAGTGCCAACAGTTAATTTCCTTTTTTTCGGACTGCAGACGGTGTGTTATTGGGAACATTTGAGAGGCAGCTGTCCCCCGTTAGTAATGTTTTCAGCGGAGGGCTCTTTGAAAATCAACTTGTTGAAGGGCAACCCTCCGCAAAAGAATTAAATATGAAATATGAAATATACTCCATAGCGCCATCTCTGCTTGAAAAGACATGCTTGATAGAGCAGTCGCTGGACCTTGAATAAGTTCGAATAAGGTAGTCACTACCTGACGAGTGGGTCATTTCCTCCTCGGAAGGCATTATTCTCTGGTTCAGAGTCATGGTCCAACTCTGAACCGGACAATAAGTTCTCTGCATCTGCATTTGACTGTTGCACTGTGTTGGAAGAATAGAATGTCTTTGCACTATTATAGGCTGTCCAAGATGTCTTCGCACTATAGGTCTTTAGCGCTGGGTATGAAGGTGCATGATTTCCTTCAGGGGTAAATTCATCTTCTGGGTCATCTTCATATCCTTGTACTGTAAAGGAAGCTTTCTTTTCACACCTTGGATGTCTTTTTTACTTCTTTTGAGATGGGAAAGCTGCTTTCCTGCGGACCATTTAGACTTTAAACGATCAAGTATGTCGTCCGAATTTCAACTGCATGCTTTTGGGACATGTCTTGTAGTAATTGAATCGAAAGACTGTAGCCAAAATAACCTTGTTAAGTTGACACAATTTAATTCTTCTTTGATTGAATGATTGTGGATCTGTGGAACTGCTGCAGATGATTTTGTTTTCAAATTTGATAAATACGAATCCTTGTCCCTAAGCGGCTTTAATATAGTGTTCCACTATGTTCTACAATTTCGCGAATGTTTTTGCGTCGGCAATAACTCTTTCTGAGAGTCTCAGCCCATAATTCCATGGATCTGTGAAAGAACACAGCAATTTTTGGAACCAAAAGTTTCAGCGATGCCTCAAATCTCGATGATTTGTTTGTTGTTTAAGCACATAAACATCTCATTTGTCGGCTTGCATTCCTGCATTGCATGAACACGCAGCACAAACACATCAGTATCCTTCGCAACAACAACCACTTTTGTATATTGCGAGTTAGCATGCAAAATTATTTTTTATTTCAGCCTATTTGTAGTTACATCTTGGAAGGACTTCTATTTGCTTTTTGAAGTCTCCGGCGCTTTTCTACGTAAGTTATAACCAATGGAATTTTCTGGAGCCTGTGACCCTCAGCGCTTCGAAATAATTTGGAAGCAAGTTTTATTAGATTCTCTTGTTTGCATCATTGTGAAAAACCCATTTTACCTTAGAGTATCTTTGGAGTATTTTTTGGAGTACCTTTGCTCTAAACTTTTTTTATGCACTTGCCTTGATGATTCATCTCTACTTTGTCGTGCGCTCAAAAATCCAAGAAAACATCGAAAGCAGTCTTAATAATGAACGAAGACCACCAAGGTTTCGAGACTGGCAAGGCTGTCTCTATCAAAAAGGCATTTGCACATCTCATCAAAACCATAGCTCTAGTCTTGCAACTCCTGAAGGTGTACTGTGACAAGGAAATGAAGCTGTTCTTCTTAATTTCATGTGCAAGGAGTCAAATCCATATGTAAAATGCAAATCTACCACCAGAAAACGCCAGATGGAGTATTGATGAGATGGTCATATTTCGCAGCAGAAGATAGTCTTATTGAAGAAAGTCATGTACCTTCAGCCCAGCGCGAGGGCATCTTGGATAGCCTATAGTTTCAACATTCTTCCGACTAAGTGCAACAGTCATATGCAGATGCAAAGAACTTATTGTCGGGTTCAGAGTGGGAGCAAGACTTTGCAACTACGGAGGAAGAAGTGACTGACTCGTCAGATAGTACAACTTTGGCTACTACAAATCGCACAAACATAATTAAAATGATCTAAAGACTAATTATTTGATTGAAAAAAATCACTGAGGAAATGGTTTTGCTGACAACCAGCCTCATATTAATACAAAGTTATGCCAACTTTGATGACGTCATGCAAATTTTTGATGACGTCATAATAAAAACACTAATGGCTGCAAATCATACTTAAATATACATCAATGAAAAGCTTGCAATGAGACGCGTCAAAATATGTAATTTGCGTCAAAAAAACAATCCAGTAAAGAGCTAGCAATGATTTTGTCTGATTTTTTACCGTTAAATGACATCATCAGTCCCGTGACATCCAGACATTTTCAAAAAAGTCACCTGGCTGATTATGAAAGCCTAGACTCCCTACTACAAGTATCTGTTGAGAAAGTAAACATTAGCTTGAATGTCAGATTGTCAGGCTATATGTCCTGTCTATGTGCCCGCGTTTCTGATTGGCCTACTTTCATCCACAACTGTTTTCCTTGCCTAGAGCTTTCGATCTATGTTCTGATGTTTTAAACTCTGAAGAGTGTCAGACGAAAAGCTTAGGTATGTTTCAAAATCTTTGCTTTTTTCAAAGCCATTTTTAGCTGATTACGCTTCCCGGCATCCGACTGTCTTACAGCGCCTCCGACGAAGGGCCGGGGGAGGGGGGGCAACGATAGATGGCGAACTCTGACCATAGTCAATTAAAGACTTTTTCAATTGACTATTCTCTGACCGTCCACAAAAATAGGCTTCAAATACACATATATTTCCGGGACTTTCATTATTAGAAGATCTAATCCTTAGAGGTTGCAGACTCCTGGTCCCCACTAGTCTTCCGGAATCTATAACAAGCATAAGACACGAGGACACCAAGATGTTGTAAAAACTAAACAATATCCTGGCTTCGATCACGATGGTTGAAACTGAAATTGCAAAATGCGTTCAATGCCAAAAAACACATATATCCAGCAGCAAGAGCCACTCATGCCAACAGAGATCACTGTTTAAATTAAGCCTGAAATACACGATCAGTTTTTATCAGTTTTTAACTGACAGTTTTCAGTTTTCAGTCAAAAACTGATCGTGTATTTAGCAAAAACTGATAAAAACTATCTTGCGCTGGGCTTTTCTATTTTTCCTTTGTTTTCCCAGACACTACTTCTTCCACATCACTTTACCCCTAGAACAATGTTAATTGAATGAAAAAAATCCATTAAAGCACCCAGGGCCGTAAATCCCGGGGGGGGGACGGGGGGACTGGACCCCCCAAAAAATATTCACCAAAACGACTTTTTTAAGAAATTATCGTCATTTTCTTTTAAAGAAAGGAATCTCTGGTAACTGGGTCAGAACCAAACTAAGTTTTTATGTGTTCTTGCAACGAACCTCAGCCACTCCATGGCATGGTGATGTCGAGTCAGTGACGATGCCCATGTGGGAGATTTGCCCCAAATATCGTCCCTTGAATAAATCTCAATAACATGTACGAAAAGAATCGTTTACACATATTTTCACAAACCCACATTACACATATTTTCATTACACGCCTTTTTATAAAATCCTAACTCAAAGCCTAGGTCCTAAAGTTCCGAATTTTTGAACCTCTATTAGTCGAATTGCGGTACCAAGACCTTCATAATAGCTCCTTAATTTCAACTGCACATTTAGTGACATGATAATAGCATAGACACAAAAAATGAAATTCTGAGTTTTGCTTTTAACTGTAGCTAGGAACAAGGCCAAAAGACAAAAAGGGAAAGAAGTAAAATTAATTTGCGTAAAAGTACCACGTCAATAAAGAAGTACTTTTGCATGTAATATAGAGAGAAGCAATGACTACACTCTTTATCATTAGAATGCAATAATTTTTACTCAGCCTCTATTTTTTAATGAAAATTTTCGTTTTCAGCCCTAATATGTTCTTAAATACATCCTTATTTTTTCAATTCGATATGCTTTCAGGAAAAAATCGCTGGCTCTCGAATAGAAAATACCTTCTCTTTCTTTCCCCGACGTCTGTCACTAGAGTTTAAGCATGACTCTTCCCCTTCCCAATTTCTCCCAGAACAATAATCAGTGTTCTTCTGAGAAACATCGAATTGTCTATCCTGAACGATATAGTATTTTGTTAAACTTGGTCTGGGAGATGCTTTTCTAGCTATTTCGAAGGTATGATTTGAACAAATTTTCTTTTGCGTCGGCCCCAACCATGTTGGGTCCTCCTACATCACTAAGCGCGATTCTCAGCCCCGCAGATTCAATTTCCTCAAGCTGTCTCTGAAGAATGTTATCAACTGAATTATAAAAAAAGTCAACGTGCTAAGAAATATCTGCAAATACCTTCTATAGAGCTGAAAAAACCTTACAAAATCTAATAATCTTTCTTTTTGTTTTTTAAGTCGTTTGCCGCTCAAGCTGTTTCCATAACACATACCGTAAATTGCATGGTGGTGCAATGACCCACTGCACATTTAATATTCATTTGCTCTGCTGACAACCCCCCCCCCCCCAATGGACATGACAGATTTACGGCCCTGCAAGCACCCCCATACCCTCTTCCTTTTCTATTCTAAATCAACGTTGTCCCAAGAGGGAGAGTGGCTGAACTTGCCATCGAAAACTGAAATCAGTGTTCTAAGGCTTTTGGCAGTGATTGAAGAGATCACTGTAGGGATTGTGTCCACAAGCAAAACACACAAAAACCAAAATTTTCAGCAGAAGGGGAAAATCAGCTTGAGACCCCGTTCACCCTGCTACTGATCACTTTGATACCGATTAAAAGTGATACGGATTGCCAGATTAACATGCGTTTTCACGAGTCCGGGTCACTTGCGATCCGTTTGAGTGTACAGTATCTTGTCAATCTCAGCCTTTCATGCCTTTAGCTACAGACCTTAACAGATAACAGCATTTCGAGACAGTGTGCAATGAATAACATGAACAATAAAACAATTTTCAATCACTAATAGAACATAAATATATACTAAAGAGATATAATTGGCCACATCCCTTTAAAAAAACCTTTTCCAAAGGCCATAAGAATTTCCATAGCGCAAGAGGAATAGAAAGATTTTCACCACTGTCTACTATTTAATCAAATTTAGAATCATGAAAATACTTTGCCTTTGAAACAAACATATAGAACAGCTTATTCAATCTCTGCCAATTTTGTGACTCTGGCTCGGCCTGTCAACCCTATAAATTTCCTCTGCTACAGAATAAAACGCTTCATATTCAACATCATTGGGTGTAGTATCATTATGGTAATGGCCCCCTCACCATGGTAGCTAAAACAATGGGTGTGCTCTATTCGCAAATCAAGACCTGGATCAGAGCTTACCAGAACACTGAGGCAAATCAGTGGTGAACTTGATTCATAAAATTTAAGCCATTCTTTTACATCATTGTCACTTTTAAGGGGGAGCTGAGAGAAATCAGGCATAACATGAAGATTGGCTTTTCCTTTATGTATTATAAATACGCCACCCATTCCAACACATTGAGCTCCATATTCAGAGTCGACAATCTTCCTTATGCAAGTAACAAAATTATCCTCTCCAATTCTCTGACTGGCATGAATTCTCAGAACCTTGCTTGTCTTCCCTTCACAGGCCAGAAAGTTGCCTAGCAGGCAAAACTCTTTTTCTTTGTAATCGCGAATATGACACAAGTGTTCTTCTGGAGATACTGTAGCTACTTTGCTAGCAAGAATTTCCCTACCTGCAAATAAAATGCAAGTTGGGTAACAGGTGATAAATGGCCCTGCCTTCCATATCAGGGCAAGGCGATACAACAAAGGCAAGAGAATTCCAGTGACGGTAATACAAACTTTGTGCCAGAATATTTGAATTGTAGATAGGGTCAAGTAAAAGAAGGAAAAAATAATATTTGGAAAGAATAGAAGGAGAAAGGATGTTGTGGAATTCCACAGTGCATTTTTTATTGTTTATCTGTTTATTTGTTTTGGTATTTAAGCTTATATTCTTAAAATTAAATGTGTGCATTAATACGTAGCAACAGATGTATTCACTAATCATTTGAGCATAATTATACTAATCCTTTCTTTTGCGTGTATCAATAATAACTATACCCTTAGGACTAATCACGAACTGCTTTGTGTGCAGGCGAAGTAATTTCGTATAATTTGGTTAAGTTGTTGGTTATGTTGATGTTGAGAAATAGATTCGCTTAGAGGTTATATATTGAAATGAAGAATTGGAAACCTCACTAAACTGGTATTTTTTGAGATCTACTCTGTCAAAAGAACCTGTGAGGGTTTTCAGAAATTTATCTGGTCTCGAAATAATCACTTTTGTCTACAAAATAACAACCCCTGAAGAGAACAAAAATATGTCATTAGATCGCGAGCTAAATCACCTCGTTAAACCGGAAGTAAATTAATTGTTAGTTCTACACGTCATAATTCCCTTGAGTGTGCTTGTTCAGGCTATCCCCAAATTTGGTACACATTTTACTGAAAAGAAGCAGGCTGAATTCAGATATTATTAATGCAGGGCTTTCAGGATATTACGGTGTTCTGCCGAAAGATTAACCCTTTAAAACCATAAGTTTGCGCACAAAACGGAAAATTGATAATAAGAAACACGTATTTCTGGTCATACGCAATTCATTTGCTTCAAAACTAATCCATGAAATTTAATGCAAATAACAAAAACCAATGACTCATTATGAACACTACATAATGAAACAGCACATTTTACAAAGATTCATCAAAGGAAACAACGAGTCAAATTTCAGTATGCTAAAAAAATTACGAATGAATTATTGAAAAAATTACGAATGTACAGTCCCATCGCAAAGGGGGGCATGTGAGGTGTGACACCCCTATAACAACAAAATTTCATTGCAAAAAAGATGTGCCAATTTGAACCCCCCCCCCCCCGGAACACAATAGCTAGCGACAGGCCTGCGAACGTCTTTGAGTTTCAAATTTAAATATTTTGCAAGAATATACAGAATTAACTCATTGGTTAGCAAGCATGTAGTAACCTAATAGAAAGTGATCGTTATGTTCTGTTCAACCCGTGCGTTGTTCTATCTTCTTCCCATCTTAACATTGGCGACGAGAATGTCTGTACAACTCAATCCATTACCACCATTCGATCCGAATGCAGAACTTGGAGCGAGTGTTGCTGCCAACAGGGGCGAAACTACCGGGGGGTGTGGGGGGTGTGACACCCCCCCAATCCAAAAAATAGTCGATTTCGCAGGGCAATCGAAGATTTCGCAGGGCGCCAAGAAGAGCTTTGTTGCCACGCAGAAATGCCACCTATGAAGTTCGTAAAGGGCCGTTCACGAATTTTGAAATGGAAATATTATATTTGTTATAAACCTCCCTTCCTGACATTGCATTTTAGAGAACGGAACAGGTATGTCAGGAAGAGCTCCGTTATTAGCAAAGCGAAAGCATTCCTTACCGAAAGTCATAGCCAATGGATGCAATGATTGATGCATATGTTTATGAGGGCAGGATTGATTCCATATAAATTAATTTAAGCTGTAAATTTTTTTCATGACAAGCACGGCGTCACTGGGGAGGAATAAGGGGCTGAAGTCCCTCACTTTGGTCAAGATAGGATTTTTTTATCATTTTTTCTATTACTTTTTAACAGTGCATGAACTAAAAAACATAAAAAATCGTTAAGATACCGATTTTGTTTCATCGAATTGCTAACTTTTCCACGTAAATTTTTATTATTTTTCTTTTATTTGCATTAATTCAGTAAATCATTTTCTGTATCATTGCAATGTTTTAATTTTGGATGTGTAAACATGGCCTTCTTGACACAAGAAACTGCACATTTCTGTTCAGGAAAAAAAAATTCTCCCAATCAAAACAACATCTTCCTCTGTCATTCACAACTACGTGCAATCTGAAACGAAAGGTTGCCGTTTCTTTCCTTCCCCAACGTCTAACACTAGAGTTTTAGCATGACATCCCCCTTCCTATTTTTCCCAATCAACAATAATATTTTCAATAAACAATCAGTTCTTTTAGCACAATAGTATTTTGCTAAATTTTTGTCTGAAAGATGCTTTTCAGCCCTTTTACAAGGTATAATTTCAAAAAATTTCTTCACGTCGGACCCAACCATGGTGGGTCCTCCTACCTCACTAAACTCGACTTTTAGCCCCACTGGGCTAAATTTCGTTGCGCTGTCTACATCATGTACCCCCCCCCCCAATTAGCTCTTTATTAGCTTAATTTTGCAAACCAACACTAAATGAAGTGAATATAAAAAAACAATTTACGCTCACGTAGAAAAATAGAAATTTCATAGGCAATGAAATTCCAAGTTTGTTTCTATTGCTTAGAAGTTTGTCCTTGGTAAAGACCAGTGTACACTGGTAAAGCTTTCACTAGTAACCTATAGACAAACCGTTGCTACTAGGTCTGCACGGCACCACTCAGTTTTGCAGGGCAGAAACCCTTTTCACCCCCCCCCCCCAAAACTATTGGCCAAGTTACGCCCCTGGCTGCCAGATGGAAACTTTGGCTACGTGATTTTCATACTTTTCTTGTGGCAAGCGGAATTCAAGACGCTAAGCGCCCGAAGGCTTTGTTACTTTATCAAGCTGGACCCAAAGTTCGAGAAATTTGTAACCAGTTGAGTGATGTCGATGGAGAAGGGGATGAAGACAACAAAAGCCAAGCTCATTGAGCATTGCGGCAACAAAAGCCAAGCTCATTGAGTACTTCGAGACTCAGAAAAATCGACGGTACGAAGTTTATCGTTTTCGTGAAACTCGTCAGGGAGATCAAGAATCGCTCGATTTTTTCATAAACGATTCAGGCAGATGTCCAGTACATGCGAATTTGAAGATGTAGACTTTGAAATCGAGGAACAAAAAATTTTAGGGGGTTGATCTTCCCGTATAAGACGCCGAGCTTTGCGTGACGCTACGTATACCCTTAAAGACATGCTAATCGATGGAAGACGGGATAAAACCAGTTCTTATCAAGCCCGAGATATAGAAACAGCCCACGTACACACAGAAACAACGAACCGTTTGCAATCGAAGTCTGATAACAAGACTTGCAACAATTGTGGAGGAGAATGGCCGCACAAAAATCAATGCCCTGCACAAGGTAAAACATGTCGCAAGTGCAATAAACCGAACCACTTTCAATCAGTTTGTAGGAGCTCAAACTTCTGGAAGCAGAAACAAAGACGTCCTGCACATTCTCGCAAATCACACGCAGTGGTGAGACCTTTGCAGCATGAGGATAATTCTAGTGACGAGGAATACTTGTATACGGTCTCAAATGGCAACGACAAATTATCAAAACGCAGCCCTGTGGTAAATTTTGTGGTCGAAGGTCACAAGTTCAACATGATATTGGATACCGGATCCACAATCAACGTTATCGATAGAAATACTTTCGAAAAGATGCACGGAGTCAAGTTACAACAAACCAAAATAAAAGCTTTTCCATTAAACTCTTCGAAACCAGTTTGTTTTATGGGAAAATTTGAATCGACAATCTCAACAAAATCTCGCTTTGGGGTTGCAACATTCTATGTCCTAAAAGATCGTAATGCTGGTTGTTTACTTTCAGCCAATACAGCACAAGAACTTGGAGTCATAACGCTGAAATTGAACAAACTTTCAGTTTCAGCAACCCCTACAAAACATATTGATCCTCAAATTGATGCCATAGTTAAACGTTTCAACAAAGTCTTTGAAGGAACTGGTAAACTGAAGGGGTACTCGGTGAAGCTAAACATCGACGAAAAGGCAATACCACGTGCACAACCGCAAAGGAGAATTCCTTTTCATTTGAGAAACAAAGTTAAAGAAGCTATCACCCAGCTGGAAAAAGAGGGGATCATCGAAGCTGTGCCAGAAAACGCGCCTTTGCAGTGGGTATCTCCAATCGTCGTAGTACCGAAAAAGGATGTATCTGTTCGTCTTTGCGTAGATATGCGTGTGCCAAATACAGCAATAAAACGTGTACGTTATCCGATCCCTACATTGAATGATATCAGCATTCAATTCAATGGTGCCAAATATTTCAGTAAATTGGATCTAAACCAATCTTACCACCAGCTACCATTACACATAGACAATCGTTTTAACACTACCGTCCGCACACACGTAGGACTTTATCGATACACTTGTCTTAATTATGGTACAAATGCTGCTATGGAAATTTTCCAGCATGTTTTACAAGAAACTTTACAAGGTATAAATGGAGTGCTGAACATCGCAGATGACATCGTAGTTTTTGGCAAAAGTCGTTAGGATAAAGATTGAGCTTGGCAAAATTGTTTGTAACGTCTGCATTCAAAGTGTCTTACGCTAAATCTCAAGAAATGTAGCTTTCTACAGAAATCAATTCAGTTTTATGGAAAAATTTTCATGGAACATGGTACGCAGCCAGATCCAGCACGCATAAGCGATCTTTGGAATGCACCGATACCTACCAGCATCAAAGAGGTACGAAGCCTGCTCGGAATGGCAAACTATAGTGCTAAATATATCCAAGATTTTGCGACGCTCACTGCACCACTTCGAGAGTTGACAAAAAGAAGATACCATTTGTATGGCAAGCAGCTCAACAGAAAGCATTTCAAAACATAAAATTGGCTCTGTCTGAAGCTCCGGTTATGTCGTATTTCGATACCAATAAAGAATATTTCGTTACGGTGGACGCAAGTCCCGTAGGTGTCTCTGCAATTTTGAGTCAAGC